TACCAGTAAACAATGGAAACGATGCACCAACACACCACCAGCTGTGAGTGTCGGTACAGTTGCCAGGGCAGATCTCTTGATAGCCCAAAGTAGCCAAATCCATGGTATGGTAGCACAGGACAATGTAAAACAAAGTATTCATTTATTAAAGTTAATTTATAGATACTGGACATAAATTTTTGTTCATTACATTTGAAACATCAATCTTTGTTAATTAAATTTGAAACAAGAGAAAACTACGATACTGGATTTTCATTAAAATATTACATCACAAGTATATTTTACCTTAACTGTGACTGAATGAATATATTCTCGGAAATAAATATGGAAATGTAATATTTTTGCTGGAATGACGTACATATTATAGTGGGAAGTGGGATAAAATCATGACGAAAGACTTTCGCTTTCTTTTGTTGTTCAAAATATTTTACCGTAATCGCTTTTCGAATGGTTTTCAGTTAAAAAACTGTTGTACTCGTACTGTATTACAATAATATTCTATCCTATCATTAGACTTATAATCCCACAACTGAAAACCATTCGAAAAGCGATTACGGTAACATCTTTTGAACGAAAGAAAGCGAAAGTCATTGCTTTCGTCACTTTCCACTGTAATACGTACATCATTTCAGCAAAAACATTACATTTCCATGTTCTCAGAAATAAATGGTAGTTTTGTTGAAACGTAATGTACAGTATTTAACATTAAAATGCAAAAATAACTATAAAAACAATTAATACACCCGTAATGTACTGACTGGCATCTCCACTTGTTCCTGCTCCCGCCAGTCACCTCCTCCCCGCTCTATCCCTCCGCCTCCTCCACATCGTCACTACTGTTGTATTACAATAATATTCTATCCTAATTGACTTGAATAAATACTACGATACCATATTTCTGAATATTTTCATTAAAATCCATCCAAATCATTTTCCTTGCCATCGTCTGCAGCACCAAACAGCTTCTCCCAGTCCTCCCCTTGAACAGGGCTAGAGGGTACGTGTTTTTCGAATCATTTTCAATTAAAAAAATGTTACATCACACGTATATTTTACCTAAACTGCGCCTGAATGAATATATTCTTGGAAATAAATAGTAATTTTGCTGAAACGTGATGTATTTCAATGTAAAATAGGATAAAATACATGAAAACAAAAGACTTCACCTAACCTTCCAATGTTCAAGAGATGATACTCGTTTTTTTAATAGTTTTCCGTTAAAATACTGTTATATTACAATGATATTATATTCATACTGTGCTTGATATACTACATTCACAGAAATTAAATATTTTTGCTGAAATGACGTAAGTATTACAGTGGAATGTGGGACAAAATCGTGACGAAAACAATGACTTTCGCTTTCTTTTGTTCAAAAGATGTTACCGTAATCGCTTTTCGAATGGTTTTCAGTTGTGGGATTATAAGGCTAATGATAGGATAGAATATTATTGTAATACAACAGTTTTTTAACTGAAAACCATTTGAAAAGCGATTACGGTAACATCTTTTGAGCGAAAGAAAGCGAGTCATTGCTTTCGTCACTTTCCACTGTAATACGTACGTCATTTCAGCAAAATATTACATTTCCATATTCTCAGAAATAAATAGTACTTTTGCTGAAACGTGATGTATTTCAATGTAAATTAGGATAAAATACATGACGAAAAAAAGAGACTTTACCTAACCTTCCAATGTTCAAGAGATGTTACTCGTTTTTTCAGTAGTTTTCGGTTAAAATACTCTTATATTAGTGATATTCTATTCATACTGTGCTTGATATAATACATTCACGGAAATGTAATATTTTTGCAACTACAATGCTGATGTCAACACAAGTGTGGTTACAGCGAGACTGACTGAGTGAGGGAGAGCTATGCGTGTGTGTGTGTGAGGTAGAGGGAGCGGGCGGTGTCCCGTGTTCGGTGCCGCGCGCGAGTTGAATGGCACGCGATTTGAATGTACTTCAATTACTTCAATGTACAGAATATTCCTCTGGCGGGGCAATCCGCGTATTTGCGAATCCGTGAATGCTAAACCCGCGTATGTGAAGGGCCGACTGTATTCAGGTTATTCATGAAATGCTGTGGTTATCTCTATAATTCTCCTGCGAAAAAAATTACAATGAATAAAGTGTTTCGACCCTCCTTTCACCATTTACCCAGCTCCCACCACTGGTTACCAACGGCCAGGCTTTGTACAGAAGCAGTAGATATCTCACAAGTGTCGTCGAATTACCACTATCTGTCCCGCCAGTCTCCGGTAATTTCCCGACGATCGGTATTAGTGTACAGACAAATAACAGGCAAGTTGAATTCCACCGGGTCCCAGAAACACAGTCGTGCACTATAGTCAATTTTAATAGTCACTAATTTTTCACAACACTGTTCGCAGGGTAGTGGCTTCACAGCTGGATTTCTCACTTCGAATATATATTGTAGACAGCACACTTCCAGTGTACAATTCCTTTGTCTTTTCACTTTATATGGATCACAACAATTCCACAATCCTTGCACAACTCTTCAGTTGTCCTACTAGGCTTCTTGATACTGAGCAGAAACGATCGACCTGACTCAAGGCTGCTCCCTGACGCTTATATGTCTTGCCAGACGCCTAGAGCATTTTAGTGATATCCAGACGCTGGAGGTCGGCTCAAGACATGCCTGGATAATTCTAAAATGATCTAGGCTTACAATAAGAAGTAAAATATAACACAAATGATGTAATACATTCCAGAAAATTCTTACGTGAGTAATACATCAATATATACATTAAAATCTTCTTAAACTTGCCAAAATAACTGTTGCTTGGGACAGAAAATAATCAAAACACCTAGTTTACAAACATTATAATAAAAAATTTTGTCTCGGCATAACAGAAGGTTTTTGATAAAAGCCCATGAGGTATATTGTTATTCACCAATCACATAGCAATGAACTGATTTTATATTTTGAATATAGTTGTGGGGTTATAAGATATTGGTTCACACTCAGGATGGGATGGAGAAAGAAAACTCACAATGTGCTCACTGTATACTTATTGTATTGGATGTACAATGCAGCTTGGTGCTGGGTAGGCAGCATGGTAACAAGCGTTGAGTAGAGAGAGCTGATTGGTGAGGGTGCCCAGAGGAGGACAAGCAGCTTGAGGGACGCCAAGGTCGCCGGCAGGAGCGGCAGCTGCCCGGCTGGCGCGGAGGAGGAGGTGTTGCTTGCTGGTGGCAGTGAGTAGAGAGAGGCTGGTCACAGCGGTGTCAGGCCTTATAAGGCGGGGGTAGGCGTGGGTAGATAGTTGACCCCTGCCCCGACAGGCGGCACTGGAGGCGTAGGCTGGGGAATTCGAGAAGGTTCGGCTACTCAGCGAAAAATGTCACTTTTAGGTGAGGAATCCACTACAAAGTAACTAAATTAGATCTACCATAATAGGTAGGAAATATCTCACAATCATGCCTAGCAACCCTAGCGAGACTACAGGATTGTTCAGTTCCAAAATCATCGGACCCTCCTGAAACATGCTCTTTTTTTCACCTAGTGTACACCTGAGACTCCCAAAAAACTATTACTATTATATTATTATTATTATTACATGTCAGGTGTCTCACACAGGGAGTACTGCGTCCTAGCTGGCAGACTACGTGAGGTGGACATCAGTATCTTGACGTATGCGGCTGGCAGATCATTACGGAGGGATATCGACAAGTATCAGAATAATAACAGAGAAACCAGCCCTCACTCATTAGCATTCCTTTATTAAAGCTTAATGTAGTGTGTGTTTTTTTTTTTTTTACGTCATGAGTTGCAGTGACAGCTTATAAGGTATAATGCAGTTCACTAACGTTATAATCAGTTCATGAAACATCGATCTGTTATTTTAGGTTTTGCTCAGCTAAGACAACCATCCCCCAACACCTTAATTCCTTAAGTACGATGACTTAATCTATTGAGTGATCATACTCAAGGGGTTAAATTATCGTACTGAAAGGGTTAAGTCATTGTACTGAAGGGGTTGTCATCGCACTGAAAGGGTTAAGTCATTGTACTGAAGGGGTTAAGTCTGAAGGGGTTAAGTCATTGTACTGTGGGATAATGAGACCCTTGCACGTAGGACTCGATTGTTCTTTATTCGGTCAAAACCTGCAGAGTACAAATTACATATGTTATGTATGCGATAATTAATTCACTCGTACGTTCCTTCACTATTGACAACTACATATGATATATTTAAGAAGAGTAGGGTGTTAAACCATATAAAAACTTGCGTGTTTCGGGTCTAATGTAGGACTTATTAGCTCCCTGACTTGCTAGCTCACTGGACGGCTAGAGACTATCTTCTGAACCTCACAAGGAGCGAGTTAGTTTTACATTTATGACCTCAGTAAAGTTCGTTGTAAACACTCACTCTGTCTCTCTCCTGTCTCCCTTTATCTCTCTCTATCCCTCTCTTTCTCTCTCTCTTCTAGTTTATCCTACTGTGGCGGTAACAGTACTAAAGGGGTTAAGTCATCGTTCTGAAGTTAAGTCATCGTACTCAAGGGATTACAACACATAGCAGGAATAAGACATGTTTATTGTTTTTGTTTAGTTTAATAATATGTGGCAGGTTGTGAGATCAATGTAGGTGTAGGCTGATCTAAACCTTCGGTCACTATTAAATCTTTTTTGGGGGTCACTTAATTCCCTACAAATTTGAAATTTTCCGTAATTAGAACCTTTTTTGCAAGGTTAAATGAGAATAAATGATAAAAAAAATTTTTTTTTTTTTTTTAAACTCTGAATGAGGAAAATTCCAAGAATATAATAGAGAGAGAGAGAGAGAGAGAGAGAGAGAGATATGGTGTGTGTTAGTAGACGAGAGAGTAGACGCAGCATAAATTTCCTTATAGTGTGTGCCTTAAGATGTGTACAACGCCCTGACGGTGGACAGCCTGACTCAGATGGACACACTGCCCTCCTCAACCCTGCACGTGGAAAACTTCTGGTCCACCACCGCCTACACCATCGGCGCCCACGCCTACACCCTTGACCACATCGAACACGGCATCCTCAGAGGTTTGTACAAGCATGTTTGTTTTGCTGTCAGACACTCAAGTGTTCGTCTTACCATGTTTTTGGTCCTGTTCTTCCTCCCTTGTGAGTCCCAAGTCTCTCGTAAAAAAAAAACTGATCCATATGATCCATGTCTTTGAATTCTTAAATGTTGACAACTTCGGCCAGGTATAATAACATTTATTTAACTTTGAACTGACTGTGAAATCCCTTGAGAGTGGATTCTATTGTCTAAGAAATGGTCTGAAGAATCTGAGTACAGTACTAATAAACCTGTTTTATTGACTGATGCCAGGCTTATACAGTTACACGTTCCTTCATTATGTGAATTTAGCCGAATAATGATATGTAATATTATGAAAGTCATTCCTATACTGTATTTTATTTTGTCTTTGTTACACAAGGTGGCACTGTGACCAGCACAGCACACGGCTGCCTTCACTTCCTTTACTGTAAAGTTAGGGACCTACTGACAAGAAGGTGGATAGGGGTTGCCCTTAGCATGAGCTAGTGACCATTAGGGCAGGAAGAGAGCCCTGTATTTACTTGACAGCCGTACCTCTCGACTGTTATTTATTACAGTTCTAAAGTTTCAAAAGATTCCTGAGAAACTACAGATTTAACAAGCCTTATTATCTGCATTCTTGGTCAACTTTTTCCAGGGTCGAGCATTTGACGAGAGGTTTCTTACCTGTGGCTCATGTCAGCTTATGTTCTTCCCCAGGAAACAAGATTCACCCCAGCTTCGGGAACCCAGTCCTGGCACCCGGTGACCCCCGCCTCAAACACTCCCTTCCTCACGTCGACCCCAGAATACACTTCGCCCTTAACTGTGGCGCCAAGGTGAGCGTTACTGACTTAAGTGGTGGTCTCCTGCTCACCTTGGTATACATTGTACATTACTCGAGTGTATGTATGTACTGGAAGACACACTTTGCACACAACATAAAAACCACCATCCACGGTATTAACACACACAACACATATGCAACATAAAATCACACAAATGCACTCACACATACCTTGGTCTTGCCATCGTGTGCACCCACAGACGTGTCCGGTAGTGAGGGTGTACAGCAGCAGTAACTTGGAGGCAGCGCTGGAGGGAGCCACCAAGTCCTACCTGTCGCAGGAGGTGCAAGTGAAGGACGGGGTGCTGAGGCTGCCTCAGATACTAGAGTGGTACCTGGATGACTTTGCTCAAGACCAACAGGGAATGCTCAGGTTTGCATTGGATTTGTTGAGTTGATTGACAGATAACTTAAGTTAATAAAATTACCTTAGTCACGGATTGTCCCATGACCAATGGACGCGTTGAAAATCGGAATTTTTTCGTAAGATGACAGGTCAATGGATAAAGAAAACACTTAAATTCACTATGGTAATTATATTTTTTAATAAATTGGGCCAAAAAGCTGCATAGGTAGTTCTGCTATAACGCGATAATTGTGTTCTTGTAAAATATCGTGTTATAGAAAATCGCGTAATAGAAATAACAGGGCTTATGGAGAAAATAGGGTTAGGTGCAGATTACTCTAAATCGAAAAAATTTAGTAGTTAGCCTAACACAAAGGATAGCACAGTCTAAATAAATGTTACATTCATATCTAATAATGAAATCATACAGTAAATTTAACACTTTACCTTGAAAAAATATGAATGTAACTTGATGGGGAGAAGGGTGATTTTGAGGTTGATAACATCAAGCTTCTCTTCAAGTGTTATATCCTTTCTTTTACGATAATCACCGGGAATTCTATCATCAGAATGCTTTTTGGAGATATTCTTCTTTACCATATTCACAGTTAATACCACAAAATTGGAGAAATAGTAAGCAAAAATCGCGTTATAGCAAACAAGCGATCCCGTTATACAAATATTGTTCCGAATTCATAAATCGCGTTAGAGCAAATTCGCGTTATCAAAACACGCGTTATAGCAGAACTCACTGTACAAAAAATAGGGGTTAAAAGTAGCTAAAAAGACATGTGACTGCGAAAAGCTCTGTGATTGGTTGTGACATCACATACTTGCTCAAGCCGCCGAGCGGGAGTCTGAAGGTAGCCGGCTGTGGTGTACTGTGTGTGTTGTTACCAGCAGAACTACAAGACTTGCGGCCATATACAATGTTGATATACACAGGCATACCTTATTTTTAGGTTAAAATAAATTACTGTTTGAGTATCATCGTGTGTATTTACTTGCTGGCTGCCAAAATGATGCAAAAGACCGATAACTCCAACTTGGAATTTTTCATCACTGTTCTCTATTTCATGTCTGGAAAGTGGAAGTTTTCGTCTCTGAGGTCTATATTTAATGTTGTGGAAGGACTAGAGGACGACCAAGGCCAGGGGATGGGCTTGAGATGATCAGATGACAGATGTAATTTAACGTGCTTCATGGCTGGATGGCCGAGTTCTTGATAATACTCTACAGTCATAAAGACATCTACTTTTGGTAAATTTCTTTCTTCTGCCTTGATGAACCCTGGAAGTAGTTATCCAACCTTCTCAGCTGATCGGCTCTGTAAATTAATATTATTAGAAAATTAAATGTGCTTTACTGTGCAATACAGTAATACTATATTGAATATGTAAATACTACTAAGCACATTAACTAATTCAATGGATATTTGCTGCCCCTACTACAAATTTCATAGTATAAACTTTCCAAACAATATTGGTATTATTTTGGACTTGGTCATCTGGGGAACTTTAAGATTCTAACTATGGGATTAAGTAATTTAAACATTAAGACACATTATCTCTACGGGATTTCTATCGCAAAACATTTTTCTATCGCATAAGAAAATACAAGTCATAGGTTATGTTAGGTTAGGGTATGATGAGTTATATTATAAATTATAAGATTAGCTTAACGCCTTAACATACACCGGTAAGGGGAAGGGGGGGTTAGTAACTCAAAACTAGTGATTTCTGATATAAATGGAGGGTAAAATCGTTCATAACACATCACAAACCATCAGCAAAAAACATAGTCTACATGTCTAAGTACAGGGATGACTAAAACTTAAAATTTACCCAGTAAGCCTATCTCGAATCTAAGCATCCAAATACTTATGTTAGTTAAAGTAAAATTTTACCCATTAATTAATATAAATGATGATATATCCCAGTGGTTCATTAGTGAATCATCAAAACAAGAACAACACTATGTTGTCATGTTTACCTAACACCAGGCATTCTCAAAACAAAGTCCAGACAATGTTATTACTTCTAAATTAACTCATATCTCCATCTAGTACTGATATACTCTGTAAATACACTGAAAAAAAGAGAGAAAGTTTACCAGGTAAGAGTACATGGCAGCTGAGCTGGTGTGAAAATGGGAGTTTTTATGTCGATAAGAACATAAAAATGGAGGAAACTGCAGCAGGCCTATTGGCCCATACTGGGCAGTCCCATTTACACCCAACCTCTATCTCTCATAAATCCTTCCAAACCTTATGTTTGAAGCTGCTCTTCACGGCACATTTCTTCACTTACGAAATCTCTATGACTTAGACCATAAAAAAAACACCCTTAAAACTTACCTGAACGTGGCATTTGGGGTCTGAAGAGGCCACCCTTTGATAGACTCCGACTGCAGCGGTGAGTTTGTTCGAAAACGTCGTCTGCGGGGTAGGTGGTGACGTCATTGCAAATGGCGGCCCTGTTTCTAGAGAAATTGACATATCTCTACTATTATAGCAGGACTTTAAACTTTTATCACAAATTAAATATACTGTATCACTCTACGAACGTGGTAGAGTGTATTTCTTGTGTTTACCCAGAACCAACAACTCGTCCATTCATATATATATATATATATATATATATATATATATATATATATATATATATATATATATATATATATATATATATATATATATATATATATATATATATATATATATATATATATATATATTAAAGAGTAGGATAAATATCAAATAATAATTATGATACTATTTACATTTACAGTAATTACTTCAGTGTTCGCTATTTTAAAACCCCATACCGTACTTATAACAGTGAGGTGAAAGTGTAAATCGATGTCGGACTTTTCATGCTAGACACGATTGTATTTTTGAAAACTCAATTTCCACCGAGTTGGAGGTACAGCCAGGGTCACAGGCCTATAACCACACAATCACTGCCACATGACAAAGCTTTTATTTTATTTTATTTTTTAGGGTGTTGTGGTCACGGCTGTGATAAAGGCCAACCAGGGAGTGTAGTACTGTGCCTTCAGTTAAATCAGTTCATAGTTGTCATCAGTGGATGCAGAAGAGACTATAATAACTTAAAGTGAATACATATTGGCAATCGAGCTGGTAAGGACAACTGCCAGCCTATTCGTGTCATAGGTGCCACAGAGACTTTAAATTTTATTTTGTTTGTGTGCTTGCTCAAGGACTGAATCTGTGTTTATAATACACCACCCACAGGGAGATACAGTGTACACAGTGATAGTTCATAGTGTCATCAGTGACCGCTGAAGTTGTAAATAACTTAAAGTGAGCGCTCACTAGCAAGCAAGCTGGAAAGGCACCGTGCCAGCTGAAACCAAGTCGTGTCATAGGTGCCACAGAGACTTTAAATTTTATTTTATGTTGATTGTGTGCTTGCTCAAGGACTGAAACTGTGCCTACAATACACCATTCACAGGGAGATACAGGGTACGCAGTCGCAGACGACAACTCCATAGGCAACAGAGAGTAGCTACGTACTTTTTTCTCTCTTTATTTTCTTTGAAATAGGTGTAGATCTATACACAGTCTACACCCCCCCCCCCCACAACAACAACAACCATGAGTTTGGTATGTGATTACTGCAGGGAGACGTCGGATATGGAGGATGCAGGCCTAACTAATGCAACGTTTAGGAAGTTACTAACTGCCGTAAAGCTTGATGGCTGTTGCTGGTATTGCCCTGGCTGCATAGTCAAGGTGAATGAAGCGATTGCAATCCATAAGGGAACGAGTTCTCTAGGGACGAAAATAGATGAAGCAGGAGCCCTGCTGGTTGACAAACTGGAGCAAGTTGAGAAAGAGATCCTTGCTAAGACTGAGGAAGTAGCTAATAGAATGGAGGTGGTTGCTAAGAGGAGCTATGCGGACGTATTAGGAGGGCCACGGGTGGGGGGGCGGAGAGTAATGCAGAATCAGTACAGGTTCTACAGCAGATTGGGACTCTGAAAAAGTGTGTCGAAGAAATGAAAATTAACGGACCTACTGTTAGGGGAGAGGAGGAACACCAGGAACGGCTCCAGCGCAGGAACAATGTAATAGTTTTTGGAGTCCCAGAGAGCCAGGCAGAGGGAACTGTGAGTAAGGAAACACACGACAAGGTGCTGTTTCAAAATATTTGCACAGAGGTTCTGAAGATTCCAGCAACCCCTCAGGATGGGAGGAGACTGGGACAAAAGCAGGGGGCTAAGCCTCGCCCCCTCAGGATCACATTAGGGAGTGAGGAGGAAAAATGGCAAGTTAGCCGGCAGGCAAAAAACTTAGCAAGGAGCGAGGCATTTCGAGATGTATTTATTCACCCAGACCGCACGGTAATGCAGAGGGAACAGCACAAGAAGCTCCTGCTGGACTTGAAGCAGAGGAGGGAGGAGTCGAGAAGGAACGGGGACAGGTGCACATGGGTTATACTCAGGGGGAGGGTAGTGGAAACAAGTGTGCCGACACAGGGCCAGGGGGCAGCAGTGCACCCTCCACCCACTCAACCCCCCACCCGGGAGGCGGCACCAGCTCAGCCTACCGGACAGGAGGAAACGAGCGCCGTGTAAACAACGAAATTTTTAACCACACCCTGCAAAATACAGTGTACTTAGCAAATGCTGCAGCTTCTGAGAATGTGGGTGGAGCGGGTTTATTACTAAGAGCAGAGACGTTACCGAGAACAAATTCTGGCTTGAATGTCATGTACACGAATACCGACACGTTCCTGGATAAGAGGGAGGAGTTTGAAACACTACTAAGAGTACACCAACCAGATATTGTAGGAGTTGTAGAACTGTTGTACAAGAACAGGAGAATCGACCCAGAGGAATGTGAGTTCAGTATTGCTGGATATGACTCATTTACGAACCTAACTCAAGAATCCTGCAGGAGGGGTGTGGTTATCTACGCTAGGCAAGACCTTAGAGCCAGCCAGGCGAGGGTACAGGGAGAGGATGTCTTTGAAGAGTCCAAGTGGTGTAAAATTAAATTAAAGGGAGGGGACTTACTTATCGTCGGGTGTATCTACAGAT